CTGAGCAGATAGCCAGAGTGGTAAATAAACTTACTTAACTTAACTTAACTTACGGACCGACGCGCCAATTTTCGGAAAACTACGGGAATCAAACCCAGTATTTGGTAAAAATCTATGGGATTTCACATAATCCAGATTACCTGTGGTAATCGCACAATGCGTCCTAACCAATAAACCAACCCAACCTTAACCCTGTGGTATTTATACACTACCATCTATATGTTCCCTAGCCAGGGGGCTCTGCTCCCTGGACCCTGTGGTATTATATGCGCCAGGACCCTCTAGAAATATATAAACCTAGTCTAACCTAGCCTAATTATATGTGCTAAGCCTGGACCCCATGCTTTTAAGAAAAAACGGTCTATATATTCCCTAGCCAACGGGCTCTGCCCTCTGAACCCCCGAGGTAAAACCACATACCTTTATATAGCAAAAGACCGAACTTTTCTTGGCTTCCGTCTATGATCCGAATTCCTTGGTTTCTAATATAATAGTTTTCACAAGCGCATAGTAATATATAGACTACTGAGCGTGCCATGCAGAGCCTATTTTAGTCATTTCCCGGTAACTATGAGGTCGCTGCAGATTTAGATTTAGTTGTAATGAATCCTACTCTATTTTTGATGCTCTACAAGATGGCATTTTGCTCTATCCCCGTGCGTTGCTCTCGGTAACATTAACCAATTCTTCCTTCAGGCCTGCTGGGGCATTCCACCCAGCCCTTCCGCCTGTATTCCAACCAACTGCGGCAAAATACTAGCTCAAAGGCTCAGACCGAAGCTGCCGCGTGCTCCTCGCGTCTTGTTAAATTCGGATTACGCTATGCGAACGATTCGTGCGTGTAGCAATACTATCCGATTGAAAGAAAATGATGTCAAGTGATGATACCACTTCAGACTGGCAGGGGGAGCTTTAAAAAGGCCGAGGCCATTCGTACCGTCACGGTACGAATAACGAGCGGCGCGTTGTTGCGGTGCGGATAAGTAAACTTGCGGGGTTATTCGTACTGTCACGGTGTGAATTAGTCAGTTTTCCGTGTTATTCGTACCGTAACGGTTTGGTTACCGTCACTGTGTAAATTAGTAATTTTCCGTGTTATTCGTACCGCAACTTCTAGAATCATGGGTCAGAACTTAGGACTTTATTAGATTTTTAAAATCAGATATGCAGTTTCTCATCAGCATGCCCTTACTAAAAATATTTTGAAGGGTAATCATTTACCCTTCAGAATCAAGTTGCTAACCTAACCTAACCCTAATCTAACCTAACCTAACGACTGGTGGTGTACCGCAGCTGTAGCTAGCCGACCTAGCCTACCCTGCCTACCTAACCGTAAGGTCCTAGGTATACTCTAGGAGGCCACCGTGTCGCACACAGCGGCAGGGTGTAGCTCGCTAAAGTGGGAAAAAATACACGTCTACTACCGGCATAATCGTTATAAAACATGTTAAAGATCACTTTATCAATCGATAGATAAAATATAGGACAATTAGAAGGCAATTAATCTCGCACTAACCTGGGGAAAAGGCAAGCGGAATGGACAAAATCAAAATGGCGCAGATGGCCCAGTGCGCAAGAACATCTGCGCAACAGGAATGAAGCTCTCCCATTGTTCGATTAACACGGTACGAATAAGAAAGAAACAAGGACAATCCGCACCGTCACGGTACGAATAGCCAGTGCGCTTTAAAATTCGTGTCGCTCCCCAATAAAACAGGTAAGTATTGTCTTGGTTTGGGATTCTTTCACTGAAGATTAGGGCAGGAGAGATCTATACTTTCAGCAATTACATTAAAGTATTAAGGGAATATTAGCTTGTATCTGGGGAATTATATTATGCGCCATAACGCCCCTTGCCACCAGTCAGAGACAGTCTAAAAGTTTCTAAGTGACAGTGGAATTCATGTACAAGAGTGGCTAGCTAACTCGCCTCATCAGAACTCTATAAAAACGCATGGCAAGTCATGAAGAACAAAGTGTAAGAGACCAGACCGTAACACTTGCCGAATCCATGCCAAAATGGTCGCATACGGTATTGTTACAGAAAGGGAACACGATCAACTATTAGTTTGAAGAAAAAACGTACATTATTAGTGGATACACACACATACTCTTATATATATAGATAGATAGGTGGATATATGCATATATTATATTTTATATATTTACATGCGTACATGTATATATATATATATATATATATATATATATATATATATATATATATATATATATTATATATATATATATATCATCACCATTTGGGAGCTAATGCAGGCAGGGTCTCTCATAGCGAGCCGCCATGCAGGGGCCCGGCCCATCTCTAGCTCGTCACAAGCCTCCTCCACTCGGGGTTGTCTCGGACAGAGAGAACCTGGTGGGCAGGGTCATCCTGCGGGAATCGAGCCAAGTGGCTGTATGGCCTGAGTTGGCGATCACGTACCGGTCTCACGGTGCAGCCGTTGGTTGGACACATGGTCCCGCCAACTGTACCCCATGA